CAATCGTAATATATTTTAATGACATTGTCATACTTCCAAATAAAATATATTTTTTAATTATTTACATAATTAATTTTTTTTAAATAAATTTTCTTAAATGTTATATTCACATTGTGGTTATTCTTTAGTGTTCAAACATAAATAAGGTATTTTTGAACAAAAAGTTTGTGAAAGTAGATACGATGCAAATAAATAGGAACAAAACTTAACTATATTTTTTAATACCTTTTATTAATAAATAACTCTTAATCTATTGCTTTATGAACATATCGTTAGATAACTATATAAGCAGATTCTGCTTACAAATAATCTACTACAACTTTAAGATGTTACACTGAATTTCGTAAGCGAAACTAGCTAGTTAGCTTTTTGTTTCTTGTTTACGAAGTAAAACATTGTGAATGCTATATCTGTCCATTTTAAGTAAGATCTTAACTCAATCTATATTTAGTAAGACCTATTGCTATAATTTTTAGAATTCCGTAAGATTCTATCCCGGGGCTCCATTTCCAAACGGAATCTAGAAAAGGTATAGGAATTCAAAAATTATTTAATGAACACGAAATTTTGAACTTACGGAATATCGTTGTTGATAACTTGGTATTTGTTTAGTTGCATGAAGTAAAATTAATTAATTATTAAATATATTTAATTGCTTTTTGCTAGTAAGTACATAAAAGTATTATGTTAAATAGAATTCGGTTAACTGTTAAGAAGTTACGTGGTCATTAATTAAGTGGTTTATGTAATATATAGTGTTATATACTCGTATATGTACCTACATAAGTATTCTCGGTAAATGAATGTAACTACAGTAATAATAACTGGTTATTTGAATAGAATTATTTTGTTTATTCCGCTATATGTGTGTACCAGAAATTCCACAACCTTCCATATTAGCTATCAGTCCATATTAGCTACCAACTGTCGTCCATGATACCCCCCATGCGTTGCCATTCCTGAGGACTCAGGTGTTATTCCTCTGTACCCTGTAAATTCACGCCATATCCCACCTTTCAAACCGAAACACAGCCATGCAAACACAACTGCTTCACGGTAGAAACACGAATGGGACAGAGGTACCCAAGCAATCGACTTTTGTACAAAGTCCTAGTACCAGTACTATGGACTTCTGCAACATAACACCTAATTCAGTAAAGTTTAATAACAATAACGTTAAGTCATATTTTTTATGACCAAGTAGCCGTGGATTTCAGAATTAGGAAAACCAAAGGAACAGATCACTTCTAAATGGTGTATCAATATAAAACATATACCAGATTTTAAGCTGAACCTTCAAAAACAGATCTGTGAAAAGCGCATCCAATTTTGTTTGACAGTTTCTGTGTGATATCCGAACAATCATACAGACACACACAAAATTTAAAAAAAATATTGTTTTAGCCTCTTATCGAGAATACTAATAAAATTTTTTCTTAAATATTTTTTAAGTGTACAGACACAATCTAATTACAATTTTAATATAATAGTAAAGCGTGATATAAAATGCATAGGTATTATTTTAAAATTTTATTTGCCTATATATAAACATCGTCGATGCGTACACGCAGTCTCGGTGCTATGATACCTTGATTATAAAAATCCGAAGTACCGTATCAATATCGGCCAAACGTTTTGGCAGTGTACCAAATTTGATCGATCTCTAATAAAAGCAATAATGAGTTCGCCTCTATTCTAGACGTTAATTTCTGTGCCTGTTTTCTGTGAGCAATGAAAAAATATACAGGTTTGATTACCGTACAATTTAAATATTATATTAATTTGTGTCTGTGTGCTTCGGATATGTACTAATAATTATATGTATGTATCTACAATGAATTTTTAATAAATATATTACAACCTCCGCTTTGTTTGGAACAAATTGTTGTTAAGTGATATGTCTAGTAAATTTTTTTTTATAACTAGCTTTTACCCGCGAGTTCGTTGCATGTGACCGGGATATATTTACCTATTAAGATAAAAAACAATCTATATCCTTATATAATAAATATAATCTATATCCATATAATACATGTATTCCAAATTTCATAGTGATTGGTATTGTAAGCTGTTAAAGCGCTATATGGTAACAAACAAATAAACAAACTTTCACGTTTATAACATTAGTAAGGATTGTATATATTGCATTAAACGTTTTATGCACTATCTTCGTATTTGTAAAGCGTTTACGCAGGCTTCCATCTCCATAGTATTATTTGTTTGCGGTGAACCTTAACACCAGTTGTGACGGGGCTTTAGCGTGTCAATCAATGGTCCAGCTTCTTTTGTACATTCATATGTATGATATAATGCATTAACCTATGCATTTATGCCTAGAATGGACATTCATTCAACTCATTCCTTTCTCGTAGGTGTCGTAAGAGGCGACTAAAGGAACTTATGGTTAAGGGATGGGCACCAGCGTTTCTCTTAAAACTTCATTAAAAGTCTGACTGCAGTTGCCAAACCGCGTGCCAAGCGTGACAAACAAAACCCTCCAAAAGGGAGAAGCCTATGTCCAACAGTGGGCAGGTAATAGCTGATATGATGGTGGTGATGGTGATGATAATGATGATGATGATGAACCTATACAGTGGGTGATTTTTATAAAACAAAAGTTTGCAAGATAAATAAAATAATATAGTACTTATCCTATTGCTATCGTTCTAACATCATACACCACGTAACCAATACTCGGTATAGATTAATTTCATAATGGCGGCTATATTAGAAATGTGAGCTGTCCACATTTTACGCAATGTAGTGACAGACAGACATTCGACTTGCCTTTAATAATTGTTGAATTAAGTTAATTGAATATAACGTTAATTAAATTATTAAGTTAATAGTCTTTGTTAAACTTTAGTAGTAGTACCGGCCATAGTGTAGGTGTGCATGTCAACTTTTTTCATACGTGCATTATTATTCTTTGAAATACATCAACCGTTAATTGCCGAACATAGGCCTCCTAACAAAGGGGACTTTAGCCAGTAGTTACCACGCTTGGCAGGCGGGTTGGCAACCGCAGTTAGATTTTGGTTATGTTGTAAGAGGGACGCTACATCATTAAGTTTCCTTAATCGCCTCTTTTGTCACCTACGAGAAAGAAGGGAGTGGCCCATTCTATGTCGTTCCTGCGGCAATTTTTTGAGACGTTGATTAATATTTAATGGATTTAAAAGTGAAATTATTTCATATGATTTTGTGTTGCGATAGGAGACTGTATAAAAGTTGTTTATATTATAAATACAGTGGTACCTCGGCATACAAGTTTGATTCGTTCCATAACCTTGTTCGTATGTCAAATAGCTCGTATCTCAAAGCAATTTTCCCTATTGAATTTATTTGAAATGCTATTATTTCGTACTCCCATAAAACCACCTTAATTGTTTTTGTTAAGTGTTTGTCTGAGGTAGGAGAAACTGTTAGATACCAACTTCCACCCCGCATGTTGGAGTCGTGTGCAGTGATAAGTATGCGATTGCTCGTATCTTGCTCTCATCTCAAAGCAAATTATCGGTAGGTCGGCGGCTCATATCTCGAAACACTCGTACATTAGGGCACTTATATATCGAGGTACCACTGTACCTTTGTTCCATTCATACTTCTGCCATCATATAGGCATGTTTACATGGCTATGTTACGGCTGAGTTATAGGATATGTCTCCGAAATTACAAGATTACATCTTAATTCTCTGGAAAGGCAACTCATAAGGGGTAGCATGGACATCATGTTGTAATCTGTAGCGTAATTTCTATGGTACTGCTCATATTTATAGATGGTGGTTATCACATCCCATCAGGTGAACCATCAGATTTTGTGCTATTTCAAATTTCATAAAAATGATCATTATAATAATAATAATAATAATATTTATTTAATTAGACTACATAAGGCCCATTTTGTTAGTTACAAATTGACTTAACCTATGTTAGTAAATGAGCGGTCATAACGCTCTTACATTGATAACCTGTCCCATCCAATATTTTAGGATGGGACAGTCCATTTTATCAGCAATTGTCTTCAGGACACTGTTTGAGCTAACACGCACCCTACCCAACAGCGAAACAATTCGTTTGCGTCGTATTGCGTAAAAATCATCTGTACGCTCCCGTGCAAACATGTGTGACGCACTACAGTGACTAGGTAGCCCCAACAGTGCCCTGAAGGCATTATTGTATTGGACTCGAAGAGCATTGTAAGTTTTTTGACTATAGTTGACCCACAAGCTACTTGTGTAGAACACCTGACAAAAAGCTTTAAACAGGGTTATTTTTACTTGTTTTGTACATCTAGTAAACCTGCGGGCCAACATGTTACTTCTAACTGCCAATGCTCTTCTTTCTCGTTTTATATCCAGGTCATCTTTTAAAGTATTTGCAATAATGTGACCGAGATATTTAAAATCAGTTACCACGTCAAGTACATTTCCATTAAGTGATATAGGAGGCACATACTTCGGTTTTTTATGTCCAGATACAAATGTCATGATTACACTTTTGCTAGAATTATATACCAGACCATGGTTTTTCGCGTATGCTTCACACACAGCTAGCATTCTTCTTAAAGCTCCAATTGAGGGGCTCAGCAGTACCATGTCGTCGGCATAGCTTATGTTATTGACGCTTACTCCATCAATATAACACCCAGCATGCATTCCGCTGAGCTCCTCAATTAGGCCATTTACATACATATTAAACAAGTTGGGTGAAGTCAGCCCACCCTGCCTTACTCCGCATTTTAATCGGTATGAGTCTGATAGAGTATCATTCCACCTCACCTGATTACTTTGATTATTGTACCAATACTCAAGAACTCTAACTAACTCTGTAGGAAGCGTAGTCTTATCAAGTTTACTCCATAAAAGATCATAAGATACCATATCAAAGGCTTTACTTAAATCCAAGAAACATGCATAGACTGGAGTGGATCTGTCTGTGTAGTATCTGACCGTATGCTTGAGACACAGAATGGCCGATTCAGTCAACACCCCCTGCCTGAAGCCAAATTGAAGGTCATGCAAGTTTAGATGTCGTCTAAGTTGCGTATCAAGTAAACCGTCAAACACCTTGGCTGTTATTGTAGCCAGTGATATAGGCCTGTAATTACCGCTGTCCGATACATCTCCCGTCCTGTTCTTAAGTATTGGTACAACAATCGTTTTCAACATATCCTCTGGTAGGTATGTATGCCCAATACAATACGTGTATAACATTGAGAGCACCCTGGGCAAATGGTCCCCAGCTGCCTGAAAATGCTCTATACTAAGGCCATCATGCCCAGGGGACTTTCCTCTTTTCATGTTCTTTATAATAAATTCAATATCTTTACATGTAAAATTATGCATTTGACCTACTATCTTTTTACTACAAGCATTTGTAGTCGACTGTAAGTTTTGTTGACCTAAAGGAGATGTTACTCTAAAATTATTTTTAAACATATTAGCTATTTGTTTAGGACAATTAATACCATTAATATTTACAGGAAAACTAGTTTTACCGTTTAGACTATTTGTCGCTCTCCAAAACCTACTAAAGTCACTTCTGGAGCGGCAAAGAGCAATTATATCCATTTTTATTTGGTCTTGGTTATTTTGACACCATTTTAGTTTACTTTTAAATCTCTTACGACTCTCATACATTTCTTTATACATAATACCCTCAGTTGGTTTACCATATAATTCCCATATCGAAAACTTAATTCTAGCCTCATTATGTGCCTCCCTTACATATTTATTCCAACCAGTTACACATCTTCGCCGCCCAACAGGCCTGTCGTGACTTCGAGCTGCAGCTTCTGCTAATGTATTTACTATATTACTGTATAATTGGTTTATTATGGTCTTATGAATAGGATCACTGCACTCTCTATCACAACAATTAGCAAGCTCAGATGGGAACTCAATTTCACTTAACTTTTTATTACAATAATTATTATATAATTGTATCTGTTCATAGTCTCTAATTCCCCACAATATTTTATTACAATGTCTTCCATTTATTGCTATTTTTGATTGCAATATATTTATGTTACATTTTATTTGAATAGGGAAATGATCAGACCAATATATATCATAAAGTATATTTATATCTGTAATAGACTTCCAAGAAGCTTGTGTTACTAAAATATGATCTAACCAACTTTTTGTCCCATGTGCATCGCTAATAAAAGTATAACTATCCGAATTCAAACCTAATTTCTCTATATCCGCACAAATCAGCTGTTGTTCGGTACAGAAATGTAAAAGCTCCTTACCGAATTGTCCATGTGGGTGCGCATTGTAATCACCAAGAATAAATACAGTCTGCGAGTCATTATTCTCAACAATTGCACAGATCTCGCCTAAGCAGTGAGTGAATTCTGTTAAATTTTCACTATCGTCTGTGGGCATGTAAACACTCATAATAACCATTTGTTTATCACTAGTCTCTGCAATAATTGCTATTATTCGCGAACTTTCACATTTAATCACCGACACTGACCTGAAAACACTTTTCCGCCACAATATTGCGACACCACCAAACGGTCTACCGTGAAGAATGCCTACTGATGTGTCCACAGCAGACTTTCCAGAATATCCAAAATCATCATGAATGCTACCTAAAATATGTATATCATGAGGTAGAAGCCAAGTTTCCTGCAATGCGACTATATCCGCCCGTTCACATAAAGATTTTATGCATTCTACCGATCTTTTCATTGATTTACAATTGAAGGATATCAAAGTTAGTGTTCTATTATGCATTATTATTTTGTATTTAAAAACTTGTCATCATTACCAGATGTCTTTTTAAAAGTAACAAACCGACGAAACGAAATTCCATCAGGCCATAGACCCGCATCCATAAATATAGATAATTTACTTTGCGGTACAAATATTTTATACGCATCATATTCCTTCTGAAATTTCATGCAAATTTTTTCTAGCGCTACAGACACCTTAGTTTTTTGCAAAATATATGAAGATATGTCCTCTATGGAAGTATTTTTATCAACTTTATTTATAAAAAGCGGTATCTTTACATCTGCTGCTCGAAATTTTTCCTCCGGTTCTGTGCTTGCTTGTCCTCTTTTCCCCATAAATTTATTTCTGAGTTTCTTTCTTTGTACAACTATCCAATCTTCTGACTTTTTTCCATTTTTCCATTTTCCGCCAGAAGCAATATCAGCAAATGATTTTTCCACTACTAATGGATGGGAGACTGTGTTGTGACTATTGGCTATGTTCCCACCGGTCGCACTCACTTGCGTGTCCGCTGCTATGTTTTGTTTGCATTGATGTACTGTATCTTCTACCCTCGCACTTACGTTTTCTAATGTACTATTTATCAAACAATTAGATTGCGTTTTCGATGGAATATTTATGTTGCACTCGCTATTTATATTTCCATTTTTCTCTTCCTGAGAAATATGAAGCAATCCAATGGGCCCACTGTCGTAATGAAAATTATCAATAACATTTGCACACCCTCTCTTCGTGTTTATATATTGTGAGGGTTCAAAGTTATTCACAATTGAGGCTGATTTTAAATTTGCCAACTCATTCTTTATCAACTGTAATTCTTTCGTTGTAGCGCAGGTTTCCTTTACAGTTCGAACCTCCTGTTGCAACACGAGTATATCTTTTAATAATTTGGTTACATCTACGTGATCAAAACTTATGGGGGGTAGTTTCTGTAAGTTTCTTGCGACAAAAATCGGAATTTTTTCGGGATCTATTCCTTTCAATAGTGATAAAATATCTTCTATATCCCGCTTCTCTTTACCGTCCTTTTTCCGCATAATCTTTCGTATCTTCGTATTGACTGAGTCAAATAACAAAGTCTTCGCTTCACTGATTTCTTCACTCGAAAATGAAGTCGTAACAATACGAATGAGACTTTCCTCGTCCATAACATCACATTTATTTTGGACAAAAGATAATAGTTCACTAATTACAATATTACAATTATTGCATTTCAATATATTTGTTGCCATTATGCTAAGCGATTTATAGACAGCGCTTTTGCACATCCGTACTCAATGAAACGTACGCAACGACTGATTATCATAAGATTTTGCATTCACTGCGAAGAAGGAATATGTCTCTACTTTTATCTTATTTTTTTCGCATCCACTTGGTAGGATCGTATTTCTTAGTAATCATCATCATTGATTCATTTAGAGATAGGTCAATCTACGAAATGATTTTTTGTACCAATCATTCACTCCCACACTTTTTGCCCTATCGACCGTCCCTCGTCAGATAGATAATTTAGGTATAATTAGGACAGAACAACTAAAATCGAACAACTATTCGGTCTAGTTTCTCCGGTAAAGTCAGACATGAACATTTAATATTATAGTAGCAATTTAAATATAACATTTTGCACGTTTCTTCACATTTTGACAATGAACGTAATGTTTTTCGCAGTAAACATTGCAATTTACATAAGCCAGTTTATTTTCTATAGAAAACGCACGTTCGTAACAAACGAAGTGTGTAATCATCCATGTTAACGCGGCCTGGACTCATATTGGCGGGGTACCACTAAATGTATCAGGCACTGTTGGTCGTGCTGTTACAGGGAAATCGACCGCGAGGATCGAGCGTCGAATGACAATCGATTTTACCACGACGAAAGTGTTGCAGATTGATGCCTCGTGATTCGGCCACTTTCACTAGGTGCCAGTGACCGCTGTGACGTCACACGACGTCACCTCGCCAAATGATTGATCGAATCAGATCCAGTTGATACATTTTTTTATCATTAAACATATGCAGCGCCACCTAGTCTCAGACTTAGAACTTATGATTTTTATATTTTTAACTAAATAAAAATGCAACCCGTACCCCACCTACACTATCGATTTACACAGACGGGGTATCAGTGGGGAATGATAGATGAGAATAAAATCAGGTCAGTCGGATCACCATGATATTTTCCACGGAGATCTCGAAAAGGTCGACCTGATAAGGGATATTATGCTAGCAATAAGGTAATTTAACCCCATTGCTAAAAACCTCTCACCCAGTACTTGAACTATGAGATAAGTACTGGCTGACAGACTTATTTATATGTATATACTTTTTTATAAATCCATATGTAGTACATGCATAAATAACATCCAGACCAATGCAAACAAATATACCTACTCATGAAAAATATATGTTATGCGCGGGAAACAAATTTGCGACCATCAGAAGGCGAGGTAGTGTGGCACGTCTACACCACCAAGGTCGTCCTATAATATGACAATCGTCAGCATGTTGTCACACTGTGCCATTCGTCTTCGTAATTGTACAATATAAGCATATTATTATTTGTATGAATGAATAATTATGCCATTAGCACAGAAAGGTTACACAAGTGGTTTAATGGATATCATTATTTACTATTTATAAACATAAAAATTACTAACAAATATATTAACGCAGCATTATCTAGATCTGTGTTTGTTTGCGTAGAAAATGTATTTCACTATGAAAAATATGTCACGTAAAAATGTCAACGATGTATCGTTAATAATATTATAAATGTGGAAGTGTGCTTGTTCGTTACATCTGCTTTAACGGCTCCACCAATGGTCATGAAAAACGTACATGTAGTATTTGGTATGAAAAAGGATACAGGCTACTTTATATTTCGTTCATTTAATATATCCCGGTCCCGCAGACGAAGTCTCTGTTAAATACTAGTTATATAAATAATCCAAATTGACACCACAATTTTATTTGTAATACAAACCGGTATGAATTGACGCTCACATGTCAATTAGATTTTAAATGTGCCCGATTATTAATTAACGAATTAATCGGGTTCTTAATTGATATAATAAAATTGGACACTGACTAATTATTAGAATTATTTATATAGTCAAGAATTTTATGATTATCACTAGATACATTGTAAATCGGCTCTCTTGTGGCTTATCGATTATCGCGCAATCGGCCATTTCAAAATCGATTTAAAAACGTTTGATGGTCACGTTGATACATGAAGAGAATGAATTGTAACAGTCAGCGAAATTAAAATAAGAGCCTTGAATTTATAAATTGTATTTGACAATCATGATTACCGTTTCCGATTGAATATTTGATTGTTTGTCGTAATATAATATGATAATGTGTGTACCTAGTTACCGTTAAACTGGTTTGTACGTTCAATTTAAAATCAGTATTTGATCTCGTTTGTTTTAATCTATATACATATATTAAGAGGGTCTGTACCAAAGTGTGACAATGTCTGAATTATCTGTTATTTTTTAATAACAGTTTTTATTGTTCATTAATGATTTTTTTAATACGTACTCAAATAGCGAATTAAAACGAGAACCGTATAATATGGTATATTAATAACTTATTAGTAATTTAAATATTTGCAAAATTTCATCTAATGACTTCGAATGAAACAGCTCTGGTCCTAGTAGAATCTTTTATCATAAGTGATGTGATAGATAATTGTGATTCAACTATTAAGTGAATCACTATTATTATATGTTAGTAACTAACAAATGAATCACTCGGTTTTCTTGAATTTAATGTTTTTTTTTTTATTCTTTATAGAAATCCTTATATTTTAAAAATAACAAATCTTTGGAATGATTATTATTTTATTTCTCTTGAGTAAAATTTCTTTTTTATTTAATATTGCATATACAGTTCAATAGCATTAAATGAATCGCTTCGAAATTTTGCAATCACTGAATAATTATATTGTATTATGATTTCATATTTTAATAATTTGTCTATTTAAACAATATTAGTACCCTCTTAGCTTTATACTACTGACAGAGCTTAGTTTCAACTTTGTTTCTTTAAAGTATATTATGACGTATATCTACAAAATTAACTTGATATTTTCATAAAATGTACCTACGTTAAAAAAAGTATTTATACCATTGCAATGTATGTCCTAGATGTTGTTCAAGTCTACAAGCGACAATTATCACTTTCAATCAGGACGGCTGTCAAGATGTTTGCCATTCTAAATGTCATTAAAAAATAGGTAGAGCTCTTACAATAGTTTATTTCCGCCTATACTTCCTAATTTTCGAATTATAACATCTTAAGGCCTTATAGTTCATATTCCGATAAAGACCAGTTGTCAATTATTGATATCTGTAGACCTTAATTAAATCAATCGGATATAGACAATTTATCGATAAAAATGCTTGCATGTCTGTGTGTAATTCGTTCACCATAATTATTAACTTTGTCAAAAAACGACTGTAAAATTTCTAACAATTTACCTAGTTAATATGAGACTACACAAGAATATCGCCGTGCGCATGGGTCATTCCTAACTTTCCCATGGGTGTCGCAAGAAACCTTTTACGATATTTACCCCCTGAATGACCTCTAATAGAACTTAATGGTCGAAGGATGGACAACAGCGTTCCTCTTAAACGTCACCATAGCCTAACTCGGTTGTCAACCCATTTGCCAAGTGTGGTAACTATTGGCAAAATCCTTTTCCTCTATGGTCCTTCTCCTATCCTAGACCTCCCCTATGGTTTATATTCAGCGTTCAATAAAACCCGTGCATTTGCTTCCATGTATTAGGATGAGAAAAATATTATATGTTAGTCTAGGACCAAATGAAATACAAATCTGCTCACAATTACAGATGTTTGAGAATTATTGATTAACAAATACAAAATATCTTTAAAAATTTACCATTGATGTAATTAGTAAAATCACACACTTTATAATTATATGATTAATTTATACATATAAATATATGTAAATTTCATTACCAATATGGAAACATTTTCAATGTAACTCATTTTCAATCTGGTCGTGTAAATAGGTATGGAGAGTTATAATTTTTTTTAAGTCGTTTTTCAACCTGTATGTCTTGGAGTATATATATATACATATAATAATCAGTTTTTCCTAGTAATATTTTTTATTCAACTTAAAATGGCAAGCAAGTTGACGGCCCACCTGATGGAAAGTGATAACCATCGCCTATACTCGTACATGAACAGGGGCATGGGTATAACAGAGTATACTGCTTCGCCCATAATACCTCCCATTGTTGCGTGGCCATTCCTGTGAACTAATGTGTTATGCTTTTGTACCCTGTAAATTCATATAAATATAATGTAATGTAAAATCGACTCCCATTTCCACACTAAGTCTCTTTGGACCATTTTAGATGTAAATCGCAGCTAATATAGCCAGCCAGGCAAACACTTCCTCGAATCGTCATAGGCCTCAAAAAGCAACCTCACGGAATTCGGAGGAGTTCTGAACGTTAGGGGGCTACAGCTGCGCACTCCAGGAAACAGTTTCACCCACCATAATAAACAATTATAAACAACGTTTAATCGCTTCTTATGTTATACAATACCTACAATAAGTAAAGTATTAGTGGTAACAGTGAACATTAGTTTCATTATTTGTAGCATATTTGCTTTAATTGCAAACACGTCTTTTTGCGTGTTTGCATTGCATGTAGTTTAGAAAATTGTCTAAACAATAGTATGTTTGCTTATGTCCAATCTTCGAAATATTCATAATTATACATTGAAAACAATGGCCGACCAAATGTGTCGTTCTCTCGTTTAGAGTTGTCATTGTTCGGGATTTTGTAACGACAATGGGACATTAGCGGTACAATTAAAGATGCTAATACAGCAGCCACTGAAATTAGACCCATCCGCTGGTTGCATTAACTTGATTTTAGTGTGTCAACATACGCTGGACACAGGACAGCTTCACATACAAACGTAATTTTATCTGATGAATACGGACGGAGATTGTTCGGCTATTTCCCATCATTATATCTTTGCTTTTACACTTTCAATTTAAAGTGGAGCGCTCTGGCGGAGTTCTTTGGAATTGTTCACTTGTTCTAGCGGATGGATAGTTTACTTTTTATTATTATTTATGCAGAAATATTAGAACTTAGAAGTATCGCCTTTTTAAATTCGTTATAATATTAAATGTTCTTATCACCACGATTACTTACAATAAAGAATAAAGAAATAAACTTATATCGAATTTTTTTGCAACATCTCTATACTCTATACGCATATA